CGGAATAATATTGCCGCGACGGATGACTCTCGTCGAAATTAAGCAACGCGCCGTGACGAGCGACTCGAATTAATATCCACTGCGTGGATCTCGCGTGGCAGTTTCCTCGAATTTTCCCCTACATCTAATTTTCCCCGACCGATATACACGTCCCGGATGAGATCACGTCCAAAAAGGAGTTTAAGTGCTCAAACCCGTACCGTGGAATCCACATTTGAGCTTGCTCGAACAGCACATCTCTCGTTGAACATCCGCAGCAACGTTAACGTTGCCAGCATCGTAGCTATACAGGCAGCTACGGGTGGCAAAATAGAAGAGAAAGAGCACTGGTTTAAGTAGCTCAGGTTTAGACATATCCACTGCATTTGCGGAAAGAAAAAGATTTTATTTTTTTCTTGCGCTACTGGAATCTCAAGATTTTTCTAACTAGCAACTTCCTTAAAATTTATGACACTCTTTCTTTCAATCATGCTTTCCATCGCTTTCGCTTTTGTTTTGCATATTTTGTACAGTAATTTTAGTGACATATATTTTCAATATATTTTTTTTTAGAAATGGGAATATATGTGATTAATAATAATATAATGTAAAATATATTTTATATTTAAAATATATTTCTGGGATTTTCTACGCCACTGCTACTATACTTGCATTCGACTGCAATTCTAGACGGATGCGATGGCAGAGCGCTCGCGAAATAGCGATAAACAAACCCTAATTTAATTAGTAATTACGAAACGCTCGTTGCAATGCGCCGGACGCGATGGCACAATTATCGTACGTGGCGGTGTACTATACCCGCTCGGATAACTCGTCCTACGTGGCTTGCCGTTGATTGATCGCGTTACACAGCGGGCCCGATTACAGAACAACGCGTTACCGCGCGGTTACGAGTTTAACGCTGATAAAATTCGCTCTGTAACCGAAATCTGCGCTCCGATTCGATAAATCGACCGGGAGGCGAGAAGGATGATCGGTGCCACTTTACGAAACCGGAAAACGGAGAAGCTTATAGGATTTGATACTCGAATTCGCTGCTACCCACTTATTCTTTTACTTTTTTCGTCAAATTACTTGCGATAGTATCGTGCCTTTTGGTTTAAAATATTAGAGATTATTTGTTTAAAAATATTATAGATTACGTTTCTTTCTCTTATTTTATTATTGCATGGTATACAAAATTTTTGTTTCTTTTACAAAATAATTACATGTATAAAGAATTATAAAAAAGAGCAAGATGCCAATAGAGTAAATTTCTAATTACGAACAATGTAATTATTAGATTATTAAAAATAACTATTCAATATTGGAACATTATTTATCTTCATCTTACATATTATATAAACAAAATTAATATACTTTAGCGAAAAAATGTGAAAATAAAGATACTTATATAAAACTGACTCTTTCATTTTATATAAGAGAAGACCGAAGGAATCTATGGCGATGCTGCGCGCTCACGGAATTACTAAATTTCATTCGTGGCCAAGAAGTGTATTTGCCGCTGTACTATAAAGAAGCTTCTAAACAAATTTATTCGTGACGGCAACCACCGTTTATGTTTCGTATACCGCTCCGGTATAGGTTACTATCGATAAGACAAGTGGAAATTGTGTGAGGTATCTACTCCATAAAAAGTTATACGTATCGTCATCACGGTGCTCGCTCGTACGAAAAGAACAAATCACCCTCCATAAACTCCGTCTTTTGCTTTTTCAATTTCGCGCTACCCTCCCCGTCTTTCGTCCTCCCCTCGCATCATAAAGGTTTTTCGCGCGGACTTATTTAACTTTTCCTTCAAACCAATCGCACGAGAAGAACGTGGTTCTTCGCGCTGCGCACGACATTGTAATATTTGATTCCGAGTAGAGTATTTCTGCGACGAATATCAAACATTGTGAATATCTTCTTTTATCTTTCGCATCTCTATAGTGATAGAGAGAGAGTTTACATAATATAATTTAATTCCCCCTATATCACATTTATCTCTTTTTTATTTCTCTCTCTTTTTTCTTCGTTTAACTCGCTTTGACCTAGAATTTTAAGATCACAAAGTTTCGACGATATCATCCTGACGCAGTAATTTTACGACAGGTTCAGGTTCAGGTTCCGGCTCCGGTAGCAGCGGCTGCGCCTCCAGTACTCTCGGCACCCTACCGCTAAATCGCTGCTACTCGTCCTTACCCAGGGGCGCGCTAACGGCTTACGGCAGCCTGACACGACCCGCCACTCTACCGCGACTTCCCCTGGGCCTAGGCTTGGGCCCGGCGCCCAACACCGGCAACGGACCTCTGCCCCAGAACGATCGGGATCGAGACAGCAACGGAAGCAGCAAGAGAAACAGCGACAGCGTGCTCTGTCATCGGCTGCCCTTGTTACATCCTCTGCCCACGTGTGATGTTACCAGTCATCAGGGCACCGGCTTCCACGAGATATTCAACGCTATTAGGTGAGTCGTTTTAGCGTGCATAATTTCTCCATTTTCTTGTAAATTGCTATATATTGAGGGGAAAGGAAATGACAGAGAAACACTTGGATTATAAATTCTTTAAGAATTCTGTTGCTTTAGTTTTAGTAAACTCTTTTTTCCTTCGTCCACGGGACTCTTTTTGTATCTATTTGTTGGCGCTCTTATATTTTTTACGTTAGAATGAATTTACAATATTTGTGAGCGATATTATATTTATTAGAATACGCGAACGTGGAATTACGCGCTGCTAATCATTCGGGAGGAGGGAAGATTCAATCTGCAGTCACTGCGAAATATTGATGTTGCATAAATCCCGATCAATCTTCGTGTCTATCATGCGCACCAATAGTTCAGCATGAAAATCCAATAATTTCATGTAGAATGACATTAAACGCGGTAACGTTAATAATTATGCGCGACATTTCGTTATCGACTTAATCACATTTCCCATTACCATTATAATTACCATCACAACTGAATGTTTTACGGTCGAGATGGACCGTGAAACGTGTGATGAGTACGGTCGAGTGACGATCAGTCTTGACGCATATAGATATTTTTACGCATAAATGAATACAAACGCCATACATATTCCTGCAGTGTACGTTCCGATACAATAATCTGACTGAATAAAATATTCAGCAAGATACAGTCACGTGCTGATGCAACATTACGTTTGAAATAATAATTGCGCCTTTCGTATTGCATAAAAAGAAATTGCGTAAAAGTTAATAATTTTAATAAAAATTTAGATAGTTTTCAATAAAATTTTGAGAGAAATGTTTCCGGGAAAGGAGAAAGGAAGCCAAACTTTAGAAGGTTTAGGAATGACGTCTCTTAAAGAAGAAAGATTTTAAGGAGACAAATGATCTCTTTGCCATTCAACTCGCCTCTCTCTTCCCGAGCTCTCGTACGAAGAAGTAAGCGTATTACATTCGCGACCTTGAAACGAACCCCTGCAAATGATCGAACAACTTGTCCCTCCTGATTACCTCCTCGACGAAGAGGAACTTCTCGGGGACGAGAATATGCGACCTAGAACGATAAGCATCCTCCCGAACTTCCTCGGGGTCTCTTTCTTCTTGAACGACCGGTAAATGAATAATGGAAATTAAAGGGAACGAGTGGGAATATTTCGTTGGCGAAATTACGCGAACTTTGCGGACGACAGAGGCGAAAACTTCGGTCGGGAGCTGCTGGGATCTCCTCCGATTACGTCAACAGACTTCACCCCGGCGGCAAACTCGTGGAAATCGCGCAACTCCTATCGTCATATTCGGCCCGACGACGAAGAAACGGGATGCATTCGTCGGCACCCTGGTCGACCATTAGATATCGTCCCGAGAGTTTTAGTTCTTCCCGGACGAGAGGAGCTCGGAAAGTTCGGTCGGCGAGCCGTGCGCTTATCCGGGCGAGAAGCCCGATATTTCGCGTAATTACCGTCGGAGCTTGCCCGAAGCTGTACGAGATACGCGCGAATAATTTGCGAAATTATTCGAGAATGAGCCTATAGCATCTCTTTTATAAAATTTAAATTGCGTAATATTTTAAAATTTATATTTATTGCCTTATTGCTCCTAAAATATTACCTAACTAACTTGATATTTACTTTTTCATGAACTAGACGCGCCATTATTTTCCATATAATGTATTTTATAATATAATTCCATATAATATATTTTCCATATATAACTGTTAAATGTTGGCCACTTTAAGTAAACTTTCAATTTAACTAAATTAATAACTTAGACAATGAGGTTTTTTAAATTACCAAGATATTAACAATAGAGAGAACAAATTATATCTGTGTATTTTTATCTTAAGTATTGTACTGGGATTGCAAGACGATTGCAGCTGGTATTAGATATTAATTTATCCTCCTGCCTTACAGAGATCTTACATCGTTGTACGTCTGTAGACCATTAATAATATTTAAAACAGCCTGCGCGTCTCATGATTTATTGTTCGCGTAATCGCCGGAGTGCCGCGCGATACGATGGTCCAGCCGGTGGCGGCGCGCGGGAGGAAGGAAGTCGATCCATTTCTCGCAGATGCGAACCGACACGGGTGCTCCCAACTGTATTCTAAAGATCTCGGAAAGATTTCTTAAGACCGCGACGGGAATAAAAGTTCCGCCGCCACCTGCCGCATCGGCCGTTCGTCTTTTTCGCGCCTGCAAATCGGCATGGCAAGTCGGATCCGCTCGGTGTACGTGCGTGTTCGATTACGAAGGTGATAAATAACTTGCGCTCCGCCCCTACACGTTAATTGCCTATTATCGTTCGATCGCCAAAAGTGTAAGCGCGAGTTCTAACCGGGACAATCGTAATTGAGCGATGAACGTGTAGCATCCCAATTTTTCCCGACGATTAATACAAATTGTCAAATCAACCAGAAGAATAGCGACCATTAATTTCGTCGTTGCAGGCTGTCACGATTAGCCCAATGCCACGTTTATCACGATCGAACTGAAAGTGATATCATCGATCATCGGAACGCGGATGAAAGAATGAAAGAAACGAGATTCAGAAGTTATTTCTATCATCTTTAGCCCATTGAGACCGCACAACGTGTCTGATCCGTGATAGGTACTTGTGTCAAATGTGAAGACAACGAGTCGGACTTATCGGATTTTCCGCGAGGAGTAGTTTTTAAAAATCATTCATGTTTTGTGTTCATAAAAAACTCATTCTTTAAGATACATTAATTTGTACATTTATATTTTTAATAAATATTCGTTATCATTTTTATGGATGACAAAAATAAATACTGCTCTCTGACTTCGATGTTCGCGAAATAAATACGATCTCAATGGGTTAGGCTTATCAATGGTTGATCTTCTTCTATCTAATCGTTGAAAATGTTTATTCGTTTGTTTCTGGCGCGAGCAAATTAACTCGCGCGAAACACATGATGAATGTGGCATCGATAGGCATCGCGAGGGCAAGCTGTGCCATGGGTTAATGGAACCCCGTCTTGCGCATTATTGCAGATTATCGCCGCATAATATCGTGCGAGAAAATTACGTTGTTACCCGTTACGTTCCGCCGCCGCTGAATAGAGCCCGACGAGCAATTTCGCGAGGATTTGTATTCGTTATCGACGTTAAATACAAAACGGCGAGTTCGGCCCGGCGGTAAAAGCCACCCCGGGATTCTAATTTGTACTTACCCCCTTACGTCATAAATTGAGCGCGCGAACCCGAACGAAACGTCAGCTACGTGACGTCGACGTGTTTTTCGGACGCGCGACGTGTTTCCGCCGAATTCCGGGATACGGTAAATTTCGCGAGACCCACAGCGACTTCGTCGTGATGTGTGTAACAGGTGTAGGGTGTAGGCAAGCGCGTATATACATACCGGCGAAGGTGATGTTTTTAATTAAAAACGCGCGGATACCGGGAAATTGGAACCCTCCGCTCGGCGGAAACATATTCCCGAGATTTCCGCGGGCTCGAGCGCGCACGACCTTATTGCGCCTTTCCGCGCGCTTTCCGACGCGTATCCGCGACGCGCGAACGTATTTCCATTAAATTTCTCGTGCCGGCCTTCATCGCGTTGCTATCGTCGCGTCGTCGACTTTCTTCAACCTGAACTTACGAGCACGCGGAAAAATAACGTCAAAATTTCAAAAACGCGAGAAACGCGCTCGAGATGTATGTCGAGGAAATATTACTTTGACCACCGAACCCTCGGTCGAGTCTTCTAAGACTGTCGGAAAGCGATAAGCGCGTGTTTTGAAAGCTGAAAATACACAGTTGCACAAAGTTGCTTTATTACATCTGACTCCGTCTCTAAACGAGAAACCCGTTTACCGATTTAAAAAAAACTACTTTATAATTTCAGGGAATTTTTTTCACAGCAAAAATGCGAATATGTGATGTAAAAAAGTTTTTTCTACATATTTAGTTTTCGTTGAATTTTTCCATTGAGACCATGTTGACGGTCCGCGTTTCGTCAACATTTTATTATATCAGTTTCATTTGTGTAAGTAATATATTTTTTCACCGTATCCGTGTAAATGTTATGCAAACAAGCATTTTTCACGGCGTTTTTTCGTCATTCGACTATTACGTTCTATCGGGGACATGATTCATCCTCTTTTCAGAAGTGTGAACTGTAAAAAATGAAACGCATTAAAAAGCGGGCTTGCGTTCTCGGAAAATCACTGAATTCTGATTAGCTGTTTTTCGCAAGAAAAGTCTATTAGCAACCGTTAACGCTGGTTCACCTAAAGCCAGCAAAAAATAACGCGTTTGCTTCGTCATATTTCGCGGCTAAAGGAGATGGATGTACCGCGTACGGGGGCGTCTGAATGACGTTTATCGGCGTTTCCCTCCGTGGAAAAGAGAGCCGGGACAAAGGGCGACTAATCGATCTCTCTTCCCGCCCCGCGTGTTCCGTCATCCTTCATAAACGTGCTGTCCAAGATTTTCCATGAGCGTGAAAATATACACGTCCCGTGCCAGACCGGGCGGTGATGGGATCGTCCGTCCATAATCGATTCCCATCGTCGAGATAACGACGGGCTATTTCGTCCTTCCCCCGAAATTTCGCAAGTCACGCCGAATCGCGGCGATCTCTCATCGAGGCTCCGCAGCAGCCGCTGTTAAACGCGCGATCGAGACTTATCGATCATCCCGCCCCGCGAGCTTCCGATATAGACGGGATATCACAATTCCTCTCTTTCTCTCCCTTCTCGTAGAAATTCTGTTCCGAATCATTCGGAATAACATGTTCGACATCTGTCGAGCGTTTCATTCGCTCGAAGATCGGAAAGATATTTCCGTGAAAAATAGTCTTCCCGAATGTCACGTCGTAATCAACGATAGATTTTAGTCGGGAAAACAGTCTTCGAAATTCGCGAGCTTTATTGTATATTTAAAAATATATATTTAACGAAAAAGAATATTATAAATAAATTTTTAAAAATTTTCAGAAGTAACCGAGTTTTTTATAAATGTATAAATTGTGAATATC